CAATCTCCTCTCATAGTACTTCCAGCTGCTGGAAACCTTCTGGAGGGTCCGCTATGAGTCGGGTCCAACCTGGCAGCATATAACATCACCACTACTCCACGGTTGGTTGTCAGTGTCCCAGAGTTTTGTTATCCATTCATCTGTTGGTGAAAAACTTGGTTTCCAACTCTTTGGTATTATTGTAAATGATAACGGCACAAGGGTTTGTATATTTTGTGTCACATTTTGTGACACATTTGTGTCACAGTTCTTATTTCTTTGGGACATATACCTGGTAGTGGGATTGCTGGGCTAAATGGTATTTCTGTTACCAACTTTGTAAGGGTTTAAGAATAATTAGCAAAATTGTAGGGGTCTGATACGCATATCTTAAAGAACCAAGCACATAATGGGTGTTCAGGAAATATGTGTTCCAAGAATCCAGCTGGAAGGCTTCTGATCGCATTTCCCAAGTTCATTATTTATCATCTATTCAGATAATGACTTACAAGTCACAGTGTGAAATCTGCAGAGCGCAAAACTTGGAGATCTGTTAACATTTGACGTCAACAATCAAGACTCAAAATGAAGCCAGCAGTTCGGACCACAGTCTAGATGAAAAGAAACAAACGTCAGTCATTGGTGAGGTTCCTCAAAGCAGCTGCACAGACGGAGGAAAAGGAGGCCTACCTGGCTTAGACATACCTCACGTAAAAGAGAGGTGCAGGTTTAAAGTGACCCCAACTTCTAGGTTCTCCCTTCATATGTGAGGCGGCTGCCAAACACAGCTGCAACCTCAGGCTACATGGGAAGGGGGAGAGAAGGGTCTCAGGGCACAATCCTTTGGCAGTAATGATGTTGTAAACTACAACTGAGCCAGCTGACTGACGGTGACCCGTGTACAAAGAAGGAAACGCTGCCGGGACTTGCTGTATTTGCACCATCCTTGGTGAGCCCGGGTCCACTGCTGGCCAGCATGGGTTCTGAGCACCTTCCAGCCCAGGGGGCTCATTTTCCAACACTAGTGCAGGTTCTGTTGTGATCCATCGTTGTTTTGGTTCATTTTCAGGAGACTGCCAGGCCTTTCTTCCTAGTCTGCAGGCTCCTCTGAAACCTGTTCCTCCTTGGGACCTGCTGGCATTTCTAGTATCACAGCAACACACAGCCACCATAGAAGGACAAATTGACATACACTGTCAGTGTAGGGGGGCCCCTCAAGTCCTGGTGGTGAAGTTCATAACCATAACACATCGGGTTGCTAAACAAAAGGATGGCCTTTCCCATCTTCCCTCCCGCCAGGCAGCAGAGGGTTTACTGCTGTGGGATTGGTGAGATGGCGCAGCGCTACCACCTAATGGCCAAACTCACTCACTGCCATCAAGGAGGAACAGCTTCATGGCTGCCCAGTGACTTTTCACAGGCTGTAAATGACCAGGTGGAGATTGCCCATATTTCTGTAGTAGAGCAGCTGATGAATTCAAAACGGCTCCCTTAGGGTTCAAATAAACAGCACAACTCCCTATTCGCTGGGTCTCTAGCGCTGTGGCAAGTAAGCATGAGTGACTTACTGGCTGTTGTTAGGTTCCATCGAGTCATAACGACCCTATGAATGAAAGGCCTGAGCACTGTTCGTACATAGAGTTTCCAGAGGCAAGCCATTTAGGAAGTGGATGCCGTTCCTGCTTCAAGACTTGTTTTAGTCAGGAAGCTCCGGCCAACGCTGTCCACCTTGGGTAACCATTCCCACGTTTGGCACATCAGTGTCACAGTCTTCAGCATCACAGCAACCACGAGTTGTCTCTGTACAGCAATGCACAGACCAGTGCTATACCACCTAGAAGAATGTTTGACAGGAAAACCATTTGAACCAGGCTTGAGGGCCACAGATTAAAATCACCTACCTTCGGCTTGGTAGCATAACTTTCTGTCCACTAGGCCAACGTAGTTCTATGTCGTCGTTGTCAATGTTGTTAGGTGCTGTCGAGTCGTAGACAACTCATAGCGACCCTATGAACAAAAGGCCTGAGCACTGTTCGTACAGAGTTTCCAAGGCAAGCCATTTCGGAAGTGGATGCCGCTCCTACTTCCAGATTTACTGGCTCTTAGTAGCTAGTATTATAGTTGGACATCAGGAAAGCTACCTCATCACGCAGTGTCTGCAAGTGACCACAGCATCCTGTGGGAGAAGCCTCCCTGTGCAGCGCATTAGAAAACAGAAGGGTGGGAGAATCAAAAACAAGGAGAAAGTTCAGGGGCCCACTACCTTCAATTGCAGTTCATAGCAGCTTTCTCTCCCATGGAGCACTGGATTCAAATCATCAACCTTCTGGTCAGGAACAGACTTTGCCACCACAGCTTGAGGGGAACCTTAAACAACCTACCGCTCTGTCACTCTGTCCCACGGCAGTGGCCGTGTGTTGCTGTGATGCTGGAAACTTTGCCCCCCTGGAGTTCAAAAAAGACCAGCAGGATCATCCCATCGTCCCTCGGGAGAAAGGTGATGGAAAATTTTTAAATTGTCTGTCCCACATCTACAGACGGAACGTTGCCTTGGACAGAAAGGGTTGCCTAGGACTAAGGAGCAAAGGGCTATGGGAAAGCAGCTGTTAAAGGGGCCCGTGAGGAGGGTGAGGACAAGAATATGAAGAAACGAGAGCTTCCCCTGGGGTCTGAGGCGCGAAGGGAATGAAGATGCTAGTGGGCACACAGCTTCTTTGGAGGGTGATGAAAACCAGATAGTACTGATGACTGCACAGTTCTGTGAAAAGACCAAAACCCACAGAACTGGGGGGAGGGAGAAAAAAAGAGAGATGAAGACAAGATCCCAACAATATGCTTTTTTAAAGGAACATCCAATCTGGACTTATGTAAACGGACATACTAGCATTTACTGTGTGTGTGCAGGATTAGAAGAGGAACAGATCTAGTGGAAGCTACGCTGACCAGCGGTGGCCAGCACTGTTCATCCTTGGACAGCCCAGGGCAACAGCACAGTGATGCATTCATTACATAGGAATGAGACAGTTGATCCGCATGACCCTGAGGAAGGTCTCACAGTGCCCACTGAACAGCTGAGCACAGAGGCACAAAGACCTAGAGGCTGTGAAGTGGCCTGATGACAGCAGCTAAGGAGGGACAGGCTCGGGAACCGAACAGGACTCGCTGGGATTTAAGTCTTTGCCCCACACTGATTTGCTCAGGCGCCCACCCGGCCACCCTCACCTCCCAGCCCCAATTCTAAGACCCTAAGTCAGTGGGAGAATGGCTGAAGTCAAGGTGTCAGTGAGACGTAGTGAGGGGGCCGCTAAAGCCGTCGGGCTGGGACAGCATCTCTGTGCCCTGGGAACTTCTCATAGAAACTCACTCCGACGAGGGCAGCAAGGAGTCCTAGGCAGTCGGCAGCACACGGCTGTCCTCTCTCCTTCCAAACCCAGTTCTTTATTGTCCAACCAATCAGCCAGTGTTCAACGAGGCCTAGCACTGTGCGAGGCACATTGTACTAAGCAAAATACAAACGTATACAACACAGACCCTGCCAATTTGAGGCGTACAATCTAAACACTTCATTTCTCTGAATTATTCCAGGTTACAAATCACATCTGGACTTAGTTGCCAGTATTGCAATGAACATTTTTTAAAGGAAATATTTGAAAAGGAAAACATTACACTTCACTTAGCATGGTATGACCTCCCCACCCTCCCCCGTAATATCACTTTTATTATCATCAAAAAACAAGATTTACTTCTGACAAAATTCACCTTCACCGTCTCCTCCTCTGTAGTTTTTAATAAAGACCTTTGGGGGGAAAAGGAGTGTAAAAAGGTTAAATAGTGGTGGTGCTTTGATACAAATTTGGCCACCAGCTGTCTGAACAAAAGAGCTCTAGCTCCTGAGAGCCCTGAACTCACCTCCACGCTGTTCTTGTTAACATGTTAAGGACGACACAAAACGTGATTCCCACTCGTTCAGAAGACATTATTGCCACCCCAAAGAGGGAGCCCTGGACACAGGTCTAGAGAGGCATTTTTCACAGCAAAATTTAGCACCAACTTGGGGACAAGGGTTAGTGGGAGTCGAACCTCCAAATCTACCTCTTGATTCTGGCACAGACCCTCCGAACTCACAGGTGTGTGTTTCTGGGAGCAGAAGCTAATCAGAACTCTAGGCTGCACGAGGATTCCTGTACACGGGGACGACTCCATCCCAGGTGGGGTCTCCTGCTTCAGGAACAGCACGTTCAGCACAGAGCACAGCAGTGGGAGCGGCTGCCTCGGAACCTGACACCTGAGGTGTGATGTGAGGACATACACATGGCCCGGCCCCTCACCTCCTTTACCAAGCTTGCCCGTGACGCCTTACCCTGGGTCACCACCCACATGGTCTCCACTCTCGAAAAACTAAGGGAGGAGCTAGCATTAAGGAAAGGGCTGGATAATGTTCTAGTGTGGAGTCATGCTACTCTATGTAACAAAAGAGATTGAGGATTCCTTTAAAGAAAGCAGAGTGAACCAGAAGTCTGGACTAAAATACAACTTACGGGGAAGCTCAAAACCGAACCTCTTCAGCCCTACAACAAGCAAGAACCTTTCCCTTTCAAAGCTCATGTGCTGTGAAGCTCAGGCAGTGGAGCTGCCAGCTCTGCCGTGACAGGAAGTCCCTCCTTTTCACGAAAGGAAGCTCAAGCTGAATGGGACTCTGGGTCTGCAGAGACATAAGACACTGGACTGAGACAGCCAAGCCCGTCCACACTCGCATTCGGCCTTCTTCTGCCTTCAATGGCCCCCTGGTCTCACCCACCAGTAAGCCCTCAGAACTCCCCCAACAAATGCAAAATGATCATCAAAGCCATTAAAATGGAAAGTAGCGTTTAACACGTACACTGGTTTTTCGTCAAATGTAATACTGGATTTCGTACAGCATGTGTTAAGGCACGGTGTGAGAACACTGCTCCCACTCCCAGCCCCAGAAGAGGCCAGCGGATTTTGCCACAACGCACAGGGAATGGACCACTGCTGATCGGTCACTTCTTGTTTTTGAGCTGGTTGGAGAGCCAGTCCAGGCCTTCGTAAAGCCCGTCTCCACTGGTGGCACATGTAGCCTGGATGTACCAGTTTCTCTGGCGGAGGGAGTGGAGGCCAAGCTTGTCTGTTATCTCTGCTGCATTCATAGCATTGGGGAGGTCCTTGAAAGAGAATGTTCCAAAGTCAGTTCGTAATGTTACAACTATACAATGAACAGGATGTGCTTCCTTCAAAGCCTGCCCTACTTCACGTTCTTCCCTATCTCAGTTGACAACAACTCTTCCTAAAAACCTTGAAACGGTCTAGCTTTCTCACTCCAATCCCAGGGAGCAGGTGGCTCCACCTTCATAATGAGTGTGACCACCATCACTTTTTACCTGCAGTCACGGTCACGGCCTAACTGGTCTCCTCAATCTGTTCTTGGTCTGAAGCCTCTTCTCAAGGCAAAGTACATACATACTTCTTGCATCAAAACCCTGTAGCTATTCTCTCTCTCTCGTTAGAGCCAGTGTCCTACACACTCAAAGTTATACCATTCTTAGAGAGAATAGTGCAACAATGAATGAATGGAAACCCAAAATCTCTGTAAATGTTTATGAAAATTAATAAAATATAATTATAGAAAAAAACCATATCTCACACTAAACCCAGAATAATTTTTTAAATGCAAATTTGATTATGTCACACTATGACTCTCTCTAAACAAAGAAAAACCCCCTGAATGTTTTACTATTACACTAATAAAGTCCTCACATCACCCCAGTGTAAATTAAAAAAAAAAAAAAGTTATACCCTTCTCACCTCTGCTCCAGTTGCCCTGCTCAGCCCTTTTTTGGTTCCCCTATGGCCCTCAATACAATTTACTATATTCTAAAACACACTTATCACACTGTTTGTTGCTATTGTTGTGTATTGTCAAGTTCGATCTGACCCATAGCTGACCCTTTTGCAGGTTTTCAGAGCTAGTTAATCGCCTGGGAGGAGAGAGCCCATCCTTCTCCAGCGGAGCAGCTGGTGGGTTCAAACCGCAGCTTCTTGCGACTGGGCCACCAGAGCTCCCACTCAAACTTAACACACATGTTTACAATCTGTCACTCGACTCATTACCCCTAATTTAAAGGCAAGCTTTACAAGAGCAGAAGTCTATCTTGTTTGATCTCTGATGGAGCTCAAGTGCCTAAAATCATGCCCAATACATAGTAAACGCAAACTAATTCATCAGAATGAATTAGTGTTAAAGATCACGGGAGATCTAGATGCAACAGTAAGGCAAAGCCACTAAAGAGATGCTAAGTGAAAGAGCAGGCAGCAAAACAGAAGGCACAGGATGAGCCCCAGAATTCAAATATGCACAACACCATCTCTCATGTTCTTAAATCAGCACACTACCGCAAGTTTTATTTCTAGAAAAGACATAAGAATTCAACATAGGATAAAATTAAGAAGTGGGGCTAAATATTGCACTTGGTATTCTGAATCACAGGTATGGGTGGTTTTTTGTGGGTTTTTTTTTTACATGTATGTTTTTACCTTCTACATTTTAAAATAAATTTGGTTCCTTTCCAGTGCCGGCTCTGGACACAGCCACCGTTGCGATGGTGGTGCCCAAGAAGAACCGGATTGCCATATATGAACTCCTTTTTAAGGAGGGGGTGATGGTGGCCAAGAAGGATGTCCGAATGCCAAAGCACCCTGAACTGGCAGATAAAAAGGTGCCCAACCTTCATGTCATGAAGGGCCATGCAGCGTCTCAAGTCACGAGGTTATGTGAAGGAACAGTTCTCCTGGAGACATTTCTATTGGTACCTTACCAACAAGGGTATCCAATATCCACGTGATTACCCTGAGATGGTTCCTGCCACCTTGTGCCACAGCCGTCCTGAGACAGGCAGGCCACCAGCTAAAGGTCTAGAGGCTGAACTACCTGCAAGGTTGACTCAAGGGGAGGCTGACAGAGACAGACAGAGCGCAGTGCCTCCTGGTTCCGACAAGAAAGCCGAGGCTGGGGCTGGGTCAGCAACTGAATTCCAGTTTAGAGGCGGATTTCGTCATGGACATGGTCAGCCACCTCAGTAAAACTGGAGGGAATTGTTTTGTGTTGAATAAACAGGTAGCCAGAAAGAAAAAAAAACTGATTTTTTTTAAAGTCAGTTATAGTAATTGATAAGTGAAACCCCAAACTGACGGCTAATGTGAACAGCAGAGAAAGGGCTGTGTGACTTAAGATCCAGTTGCCATTAAAAAAAGAAACGCAACAAGAGAAAAGGCTTTTGGTGCGTCTGAAGCAACAGAGTAGGACACAACGTCGTGAAAGCTGTAAGCTCTCGGGCACAGACGACCGTCTAGAAGCAGAGGGTGGAAGGAGGCACGCCGTGACAGCAGGGTCTCTCTGCTGGCACAAGCCCAGGGGGCTCTGCTTTCTTTCACACTTAGTGCCACTCACAGACCTGAGGCCGAAAGCCCTTCACTCACTGCTTTCCTCTCTTCTTATGTGGAGACCCTTCCCTGTCCAGCAGGCCCTCCATGGTCCTCCCTCCCTCCCTCAGCCGGGCCTCCTCTGTTTCAGCTGCACTTGCTGTTGCTATAGAACCAACCACCAGGCTCCCTCCCTCACCAGCTCCAGCTCTTCACTCAGATGCCGTCTTATCAGAGAGGCATTCCTGCCGGCCCCTTGTATGTTTTATCTTCCTTCACAAACAACACTTACTGCCCTCCACACTGCAGATGATTAACTGGCACATGAACACAGAGCTTTCTGCCTGTCTTGTTCACTGCTGGATGTTGTGTCAATTTGTCCTCACCTAGAAATGATTAAACCAACCCTACTTGGGACAAATCCTTCGTCACAGCACATTCATTGGCTGCGTGGCTCTGAAACTACTGAAAAGGCTCTAAGCCTTTCCCTGTACTAAAATAAAGCTAAGTAAGAACCATATTCACCTGTTCTGACTCAACTATAAATTCCAATTAAAGACATTTACTGACTGGGAGTTCTGATGACTTGGTGGTAAGGAGTGGTTAGGAGTTGCACTACCAACTCAAAGGTGGCTGGTTCCAATCCGCTCCATGAGAGAAAGTTGAGCAATCTCCTCTCATGCCACTTACACAGCCCCTGAAAACCACTGGAGGATCGATTAGCTATTCTGAGAGTCAATTCTGTCTTGACAGTCCTTAACAAGTGAACGCATGAGTAAAAGAGATATTCTGAAAAGAAGGCCTGGCGGGAGGAAGGCAGACAGTCCTTAAGTGAGACAATGGAGAATAAGTTTCATCCCCAACATTTAAAAACCCAACCACGTACCTGTTTATTTACAAATACCAACAAAACTGCATCTCTGAGCTCGTCTTCTGCTAACATTCTGGTTAGCTCTTCTCGGGCCTCGTTGACCCGCTCTCTGTCGTTACTGTCAACCACAAAAATCAGACCTGGGAAGTGATCACAAGCCGTCAGTAACCTGAACCTACGGGGTGGCTGCTTCTGCGCCCCTAAGCCTCTCCCTCCTCCCACAAGCAGTTTCACAGGAAACAACCAATATGGAAGGATACAGAATAGCTGGAGTTGGGAGCCCGCTGCACACTCCATTCCCCTTTTCCACATAACCATCACCCTTCACTAGATTAACATATATTCATAGAGGGAAAAAATATCTCTCTTCACTTAATTTCCACACCAGAGACAAAAAGTTCTCCAAAAATCTCACAAGGTTCAGCATCATAAACGGCACTCTGCAGAGCAGAGAAGGGGACTCTGGGACATAGTCTGTAAGGAGTTGTGCTGTTAATCCAAAGTCTACTGTTTTTCTGGCAGTTTGAACCCACCAGTGGTTCTGAGGAAAGGAAGATGGGCTATCTTTTCCTGTGCGATTTATAGAATCCAAAACCCTGTGGAGAGTCAGCTATCAGTCGGCCCTGACTTCCTGGCAATGAGAGAGGGGAGCTAGAAACGGTACACTAAATCCCTAAACCATTTTCTCAACTTAAAGAATTTTATTCCAAACCAGTTTGGTTCTTTCTGCAAAATCTCCATCTCTGGACTTTTAAGACAAAGCACAGCAAGCAACCAGCTCTAAGTTTCATGTCAACCACAGTCACCCTGCCATTATATGTGAAAGAGGCGCGTCCCCTCTCAGCCCTCGAGAGAACTGGGAGCCAAGGGGCCACCAGGGCCTGATTCTCTAGGCCACGCCTATTCTCACAGGAGGAAACGTTCCCGGTCAAGCACCCACCATATGTATTGAGTGCAACACGTTATATGTATTTTTCTCCAAGCCCCACTGACACCCCAACATGCATCTCGCCTCGGAAAAATCTCAGGAGTAAGAGATAGCTGGGCAGGTCAAAGGGCATCTTCACGCCACAGCTGCATGAAGGTGGCTGAACTCTGCAGAGCCAGACACCACTACGCTGGCTGGAGAAGGGAGGAGAGGAAAGCGGTTCCCAGAGAAGAGGAACATGCGCACTACCCAAGTGCAGGACAGAGAAGGCTCGCCAAGCAGTTGTCCACGTGACAACACTGACAGAAACTGCTCTTTAGCTGCCCAACAACCTACTGAAGACAAAGAGATAAAGAGCCAAAGGAGCTCACTGGAACCAATGTCAAACTGGCCACATTGTTTTTTTTATTAAGAGGACTTTCCATGTTAAATGGTGAGAAGGATATCAGAGTCTGAGAGATGACTTTAGAGATAATTACTTGTAAGTGGACATGGGAACAGAATGTTATTATAAATCTAAAGGGCAGGGTGGAGAGAGGGGTGTCTATATCCACATCTGCTTAGAGCTATGCCAAGAGAAGGGACAGCACCTCTGCTGCTGGGATTTGGACAATAACAAGGGTCCTCTATGTGACATCATCCTATCTCCAGACCTCTTCAATCTCTATGTAGAGCAGATCACCCAAGAGGCTGGGCTCTGTGAGGAGGAGTGTGGCATGACAATTGGAGGACGAGTCATCGGCAACCTGTGTTATACCAATGACACAATCTTGCTTGCCAAAACCGAGGAAGACCTGGGGCATTTACTGCAGAAGGTCAAGGACTGCAGCCTTCAGTATGGATTGAAACTCAACCTCAGAAAGATTCCCACTACTAGGCCAATTGGCAGCATCATGACAGACAGTGAAAAGATTCTTAACAGCTTCAGCATGCTTGGCTCCACAATCAACACTCTTGGTACCAAGCAGCCAGGAAATCAAAAGATGAACTGCATTGGAAAAATCTGCTGTCAGGGAACTCTCCAGAGTACTGAAGAATAATGATGTCAGTCTAGAGACTAAGGTACACTTGATCCAGTCCATGGTCTTCGCAATTACTTGGTATGCATCAGAGAGCTGAACAATGGCTAAGGATAAGAGAAGAATCATCAATGTCTTTAAGTTGTGGTTCTGGAGAAGAGTATTGAACATAACTAATAAAGAGTATTGAACATGGACTAACAAGAGAGCAAACAGATTTTTCCTGGAGAGGGTGAAACCAGGGTGCTCTTTGGAGGCAAGAATTTTGGAGCTCTGTCTGACATATTCCGGACGTATTGCAAGGAGGGACCAGTTTTTTAAAGGACGTCATTCTTGGGAAGGTGGAGGGATGGGGTAAGTGAGGAAGACCCTGGATGAGATGGACTGACTCAGTGACTGAGGTAATGGGGGTAGGTATGTCAGAGACAAGGATGTTGGCTCAAGATAGAGCAGGGATCACAGCTGTTGTGCATAGGTTGGCTGTGAGTCAGAGTCAGCTTGACAGCACATACCAACAACATGCTACCTCAGGGAGCTCTGGTGGCCTACTGGGAGGGAACAGCACTGTCAATCCAATGGCAGATGGTTACGAATCCATGAAGTGCTCCACGGGTGAAAGATGGGCAATCAATTCCCGTGTAATTTACTGTCTGAAAACACGCTGCACCACAACAAGATAAAGGCAAATAATCCAACTGAAAAATAGGCACAGGATAGGAACAGATACTTCACCAAAAAAAGACATTCAAATGGCCAAAAAGCACATGAAGAAGTGTTCAAAATCCCTAGCTCGAAAAGAGATGCAAATCAAAACAACTATGAGATATCATCTTACCCCAGTCAGAATTGCAAAATTTAACAGAACAGCAAGCAACAAATGCTGGCGAGGTTGTGGAGAAACTGGAACCCTTATTCACTGTTGGTGGGAGTGTAAAATGGTGCGACCACTGTGGAAAGTGGTATGGCGCTTTCTCAAAAAGTTGCAAATAGAGATGCCATTTGACCCAGCAATTCCACTACTGGAAATATACCCCAAAGAGACCATAACTGCCACTCAGGCAGATATATGCACACCCATGTTTATTGTGGCTTTGTTCACAATAGCAAGGGGTTGGAAACAACCTAAGTGCCCATCAGCAAACGAATGGATAGAGAAGCTGTGGTATACACACAACGGAATACTATGCTCCATTGAAAAACAAGGAACTCATGCAATAGTATTCAAAATGGGTGACCCTGGAGGACATTATGCTGAGTGAAGTATCTCAATCACAAAAGGACAAATACTGCATGGTGCCACTGTTGTAAAACAGGACTGACATCAAGGTTGGGGGGAGACTAAGAAAGATGGGTTAAATAAGGTATACTGCATTGCAACAGATGAGGGAGAAAACTATTTAAAAGGAATATGTGATTAGGTCATGACAGGAGTCCAGAGCAAAGACTGCATAGTGGTGTGGACCTGGGGGAGGGATGAAAGAATTTTATTTTTCCAAGAGGGGTATGTACTGGGGAGGGAGAGGTGGGCGGGGAGAAAGGGCAACAATGAATGAATGGAAATCCAAAGTCTCTGTAAATTTTCAATGAAATTAATAATTATAAAAAAATTTTTAAAAGATACTAAAAAAAATGAAGAAAACACGCTGGCGAATCAGTTATGAGTTGGTCCCAACTCAATGTACATAACATTTTACATCAGTGAGAATTTTCTACGACTACAGGGTTAGTTCTGTACATCACTCAAACACGCAGGTAAATAATGGATTAAGAAAATATCCAAGGTGGTAAAGGCATTAGGCAGCACAGGAATTCTGGGATGGCTTTGAAGAAGTTTCTAGTATGTTTTTGTTGTATATTGTTTGTTTGGTTTTACTATGAAGCAGTGGGTGGGTGGGAACTTGACCTTGACTTTTCGGATCCC